ACCCTATACTAACTCCTACACAAATATTTTCTGTGCATTTATTATAAAAAAAAAAAACTCAAAAGCTGTTTGCTAAAATTACGGTTAGGCTATTCATAAACATTTCCAATAATTATGATGAACAGAAATATTTTATGTCACAGTCCATTTCAGAAAATTATGATAACGAAAACACTTGTAATTTAGCTTATTCTTCTTCAGGTACAAGTATGAAACAGATTTCCATGACCTACAGAAAACACTCAGGAGTCAAGTGGGCTGTTATGAGTGAAGACAGAAGTAAATGTTTGCCATAATAGCTGTGGACTGAAACAAAAATAGCTTACGAGGATAGAGATACCCTTTTCTGTCTGCAAAATTTCTTCTCATCAAGACAGCTAGGTAATCGACGGCATCTCAAGAGACACCAGCGCTGAGCACAACAGTGAGCAACTGCCTGAAAGTCTGGATTACAATCAGGAGCAGCCTGTGCTCAAGGCTGAATGCAGTACTGGGAGACATAAAATGCTGACATTTTATACTCAAATACCAATAATGCAAGGAGGTGGAGCCACAGTAGGAGACATTCATAGTATGCTCCAGAACTCTACCAAGCAACTTACAGTCAGTCCTCATTTTTATCCACAAAGGAAATGATGTTATTATTCCAGTGCACATAAGAACACATGCAGGTATTTTCTCAAAGCAAAAAAATGAAATTCTCCTATCTGTATTTGTTTATTTGTGCATGTGCATATGCATGTGTGCGCGCACGCGTGTACATACAAATGCACAGATAAACAAATACACATCAGGAGAATTTCACTTCTTGCTTGGAGAAAACGGCTTAACTGTCATACCACACAGCATCCATGTAAACCTGTCCTCTGAGAGCTTCAGAGACGTCTCAGTGGTTAAGAACACTAGCTGCTCTTCCAGAAGACTCGGCTTGATTCTCAGCACCCACATGGCAGTTCACAACTGTATGTGGTTCCAATTCCAAGACATCCAGCACTCTCTTTGGCCTGTGAGGGCACAGCACACATGTGGTACACTTAACTACATGAAAGCAAGACCCAAACACGTAAAATAATAAAATGAACTTTTTTTTAAATAAGTAAATCAATCGGTCCTCTCATTAGCTGTACTTTTTCTGATCTTGTAAGTTAATAACCATAATGAGTATCTCCTCTTTTTCTGCATTGGGAGCAAATGTTTAGGACTCAACCTGAAGACTTTATTATAGTGGTCTTTATTAGTCCTTCCTACATGAATCCACCTTAACACCTAACTAGAAACTTTACAAGAAAATAAAAGCAGAAGAACAAATGTGTGGTATGAGGGGAGAGGCTGCAGGGAGGAAGCGAAGGGAGAGCTAGACCCTTACCTTTAATGAGCATATGAATAATCGCCTCCTCTATGCTCTGACTGACATCTTCGGCCACCTCCTGCCCCTCAGCTGCCTCTATTACTTTCAGAGGCAGTCACCACCTGCCTCCCTTCCCTGACTTTCATCGTTTTATGGCCTGAAGAACATACACTTTAAAGAAGAAACCACTACTACCCAATCAAGGACTTAGGAATGGCTCCTGCCTCTCTCTCGTCCGCCAGATCCCCCGGCATCAGCTCTTGTGGCGGGGAGTTCTGGAGGCCAGTGGCGGTCACCATCAATGTGAGCAGTAAGCATCCAGCTTTCATTCAGCTCTGACAGGAAGAGTCACACAGCTGAGCCTATCTTCCACAGACTGCCCTTCTCAGTCTTCTCCCGTGGATGGCCCCGTGGGTAGCCAATCAGAGAGCCACACTCCCCACCAACCAGTCAAGACCTCTGCGTGTAATCTGCAGGCAGGATCTTCTCTAACTCAGGTCAATTTCTAATTCTCAGTGAGAGGCCTCCTTGATACCTGTACTGAGGCGGGGGGGGGGGGGGGGGGGGGGCGGGGATCATTCTGACACATCTCATGGTGCTCAACTTTACAACCAAGCAACAAATTCGTAGGATATAGCACATGGGACATTCCTAGGATCTACACGCTAATTGCTGTTCGTGTGTGCATTTATGTGGGAGTGATAAAAGCAAAGCCAATGCCGGTGCTAAGAAGTTCTTGTGACTGTGACCCACAAAATACCTCTGCAGCAAGGTCTCTAGAGTGTCGGGGGAAATTTTGCTAGGCAAAAACTACAACTTTAGAAGCATTCTAAGAACCTGCTCTAAGAGAGGGGAGCTGTTATTCTTCCACTGGAAACACCAGAGGGTGCAACATCTAGGGCCACAAGAAGAGAAAGCGTTAAGGGATTAGCCACTGTGTCCTCCACTGGGCCTGGCTTGAATACACATGATTCCCTCCCTACCAAAATACGCCGTGGGCCTTTGGTGACAAAGACCAAGGCTGAAACAAAAGGGTACTGAGTCTAATGCTGACATATGACATAAATGAATATAAAAGAAAGAGGCCAAAAACAAACCAGAACACATGGTCTTTTTACTGAGGCCAGGTAAAGCCCCATTCCAAAGACCAAGGAGGACAAATGCACGAGGAAGTCCTGGGAAGTGACAACTGGCAGGTGGCATGCAGAAGCAGTTTACTACAGGGCATGCAGAAGCAGCCTACTACAGGGCATGCAGAAGCAGCCTACTACAGGGCATGCAGAAGCAGCCTACTACAGGGCATGCAGAAGCAGCCTACTACAGGGCATACATTGTGGTGCCACCCATTTCCTCTCTCTGGTTAAATGTAAAATGATAATAAAAGGAAAAAGTTCTCTGCCCAGTGCCTTCCACCTAATCCCAGTGGTCTGGAAGAGGCGCATGTGCTCCTCTACGCGCTCAGTGTTTTGGGCTGAGTAGCGCCTCTCTGCAGCCTGCAGGACACTAATTGGCTTGATTAAGATCATTTTCCTGAGAAAGGAAAAGCAAGAGAGTGAGCTCTCCCACAAATGAATGTATAAGCACAAAAACAACCACAAGTGACAAAATAGTAACGGACGACACCTTGGCAAAGATGCTCAGGAGCTCCACGTTAATTATCTGCTTCCTCTGACTTTTGCTAAAGTACATTTTAGGACGAGTTACATATCGGAGCCCAATTATTCTCCAAAATCTCAATAATATATATGTTGTCCTCTGTGTGTGCACACACATGTGCGTTTGTGTGGTGTGTATTCTGTGGCTCCTTGGAAACCACTCACCAGGGTTTTTTGAGACAGACTTTTTCACTGAGACCTGGGACTTCCTGACTGGGCAAGGCTGGCAGGCCAGTGATCCCCACAGACCCACTTGTCACCATTTCTTATGCACTAGGACTGCAAGAGTGCACCCCGACAGCCAGCCTCTACAGGGGTGCTGGCGTTGGAAGTCAGCAGCTCCTGCTGGTGTGGTCAGCATTGTCCCACCTGAGCCTCCTCCAGTCCTAAGATGCTCCACTTTTTTTTTTTTTTTTAAGATGCTCCACTTTTTTTTTTTTTTTTTGGTTTTTCGAGACAGGGTTTCTCTGTGTAGCTTTGCGCCTTTCCTGGAACTCACTCGGTAGCCCAGGCTGGCCTCGAACTCACAGAGATCTGCCTGGCTCTGCCTCCCGAGTGCTGGGATTAAAGGCGTGCGCCACCACCGCCCAGCTAAGATGCTCCACTTTTATAGCAAGCACAACTACAAGTATGTGGGAAGGAAGGGAGCTTATTATTGAAAATTGGTCCAGAAAAATGTACCCACTTTCATTACCATGCCAGAACGTTCCTCATCCATAACGTGGAAAGAGTTCCACAAGATAACGTCATTGAAAATGTTTAACAATCACAAGAACAAAGTATCAACTCACGTTTTAGATTTAGCAGTATTTGAAGACATTTTACGTGAATATTAATCACAATCACACTTGTTATGGGAGGTTTTTCAACAGCAGAAATGACACCACAAAGCAGCAGCATTATTAATGTGAGACATGAAGTACTGGCCGCGATAAGACATGTGCTGCATTTTCAGGGTTTAACATCAAGGAAGTCCTGTGCACAGTACCTATGGAACTACTAGAGGCTGTAATTTGCCAAGAACATATGAAATAAAAAGGGAGTAGCCACTATATTTCCAATCAACTTTAAATTATAGACAAACCAGAATATAATGCTAAGATTGTATTATCGGAAAACCATAGGACATACTTTAAAGACTAAAAATAACTTTGAGGGGAAAAACTAGAATAAATCTCTAGCAATCAAAGTAATCACATTTAAACTCTTATCAAACAGGTAATTTTGAAAGCAGACGTGAAAATAACCAGGGGATGTTATAAAATATGTGTTTATAAATTTCACGGTGAGTGGCAAAGTCATCTTCCAATGTCAAACATGACGAACATTAGAAACAAATGGACAAGGATGGCAGGCCCAGAGCAGTACGGGGAGTGCCGGGCACGCGCCGTCCCCCACCACTGCGTCCTTGCTGCCTGGGCCAAAGTAAACTTGCAGACTCGTTTTCCAACAGAACGCTTCCTGTAACTCCTACTAACAGAGCACAGATAACACACTAAGTAAATCTGTTTCCTATCTCTAACCTCAGATTTCATTAATCTGATCTTTAAATTATTTAAGTCAGAAACCAATATGCTTTCATGTTATTTAAAAATCAGTTAACTAGAATAGATCCCCATAGATTTTTTTTCACTTGGCTAAAACAACCAACATTAAAAATAAGTCCAACAATAAAATGAAATATTCAGTAGAAAGCAATGAAATAGGTAGCTGTGTTCTTTTGAGAAAAGAGAGTAAACTCTCCAAAGGGGATGTTTACAGTATTAGCAATGAATAATCTCCAAGCAAAATTACTGGTAAAACAGAAAAGTAACACCCTTTTCGGTCCAGGCAATACTGAATTCTTCCACTCCCTGTTCATTTAGTTGGGGCGTGATACAAAGCATTAACGGTCTTCAATATCCCATCAAGGCTCTAGACATGTTTACAAGCAACAAGAAAGTAAAGGTAAAGGATTGACTTACGGCACCAGCAAGGAGATGAACCTTCAAACTTACTTTTGCAAAGGCTTCAAAAAGGTCAAAAGAAGGCGGCAGTTGAGAAGCATCCTGTATCTCTTCTCTCATGAAATGCTGAAAGGTCATTGCAAGTTGCCTCAGGCCCTCCTTCTTATCTTCAGTGAGTTTGTTAATATCTTTATTGTAAATAAAATAAATAGTATAATCACCAAGTGGACTTCATGGATAATTTTCAGGTGTTCAATACTGGCTATTAAACAAGATATTTCCTGGCATGCAATCTATTCGGACAACTATAAATCGTGATACATATCACAATGATTAAATTCTGTCTGACTTTATCCACAAAATAGATGACACCGCTATCAGGTAGGTAGGTAGGTAGGTAGGTAGATAGGTAGGTAGGTAGGTAGGTAGGTAGGTAGGTAGGTAGGTAGATAGATAGATAGATAGATAGATAGATAGATAGATAGATAGAATGAATAAATAAATGCATGCACAGGCACAGACAGGCTTTAGAAGTACAGTAAACCAAAATCAGCTGCACATTGCCAGATCTTTCACATCATAGTGCACAACTGTACTGTCATAAATCCTAATTAAGCCAGTGAATTTAAACTGACTATTCCCCATAATATATCATAAGCAGGTCACAACTGACTCATAAACCGTATTATCTGAAAGGTTAAAAGGGCAGAAAATGAGACATTTAAAGTTCATGTGAAGTTTAAACAATTGAAGTTTGTCAGACAAAATGTGTATCATAACAAAAACCTGGATGGCCTGAATAAATCTCAACCTTGAGTTATTTCCAGGTTGGACAAGGAAAGACAGGGCTGGAGGCTGTGCTGCTTCTCCTTATGTTTGGGTTAAAGAGAAGGATTCCAGACATAAGGAAAGAGCTAAAACTGGTAATAATTCTATAATGTTTCAGGAAACAAAACCAGCCTAAAAATTACTAGGACTTTTTATACATTAATAGCAAACGATGACAGAATAAAAAATCCACAACATGAGTCACAATTGTGACCCCAAAATGAAACAGAAAGGAAGAAATTTAACCAAAGAAATGAAAGCCCTCTGCAATTACAAAATTCTGATGAAAGAAACGGAAGGAAGGAAGGAAGGAAGGAAGGAAGGAAGGAAGGACATTAAACATTAAAGAAGACAACCCATGTTCATGAGTTAGAACAATTAATATTGTTAGGATGCCCACACTCCCCTAAGTGATTACAGACTCAATGCAATTCCTAGAGATTATCAATGACGTCCTTCACAGGAACAGGAGAAATAATCAGAAAGCCAAAGCAACCCTGAGGGAAAACGCTAGAGATGTGACAATATCTGATCTGAAAAACATGCTACAAGTCTATCACCACCAAAGAGTATTCCACGGACAAGAAAACAGACGCACCCACCACTGAACCAGAACAGATAGGCCAGAAATTAATCTATGCTCACACAACAAAATGGTTCTCGGCAAAGTTGCTACAAATACACATTAAAGGAAAAGACAGTGCCTTCACTAAATTGTGCCAGCAAAGTAGATACTCATGTATAGAAGAGCAAAACTGGAGCTCTATTTCTTCATACATAAAAGCAATATTAAACGTATCAAAAACATAAATATATGGTATACATACATAAAAGAATGAAACTGGAACTCTATCTCTCTTCATACACAAAAGCAATATTAAACATATCAAAAACATAAATATATGATATTCATGTATAGAAGAACGAAACTAGAACTCTACCTCTTTATATATGAAAGCAATATTAAATATATCAAAAACATAAATATATGACATTCATGTATAGAAGAACAAAACTAGAACTCTCCCTCTTTATATATGAAAACAATATTAAACAAAAAATATTATCAAAAAAATAAGTATATGATATTCATGTATAGAAGAACAAAACTAGAGCTCTATCTCTTCATATACAAAAGCAATATTAAACATATCAAAAATGTAAGTATATGATCCCAAACCATAAAACTATTAGGGGGAAAACATAAAGGAAAAGATTTAGGACACTGACCTGAGCACAAGGATATAGCAACAAAATACTATCAAGAGAAAACAAAAATTAGAAAATAAGATCCAATCAAACAACAACAACAAAAATCTGTACAAAGAATACAATCGGTGCAGCAAAAAGACAGTCTACATAGCATACGAAAGCCTGCAAGTGATTCATCACAGAGGACTAATATCTAGACTATACAAGGAACTCAAAAGAACCCATAGCAGGGCGAAGGGACAGGGTGGGGAAGGATCTGGGAAGAGGGGAGGGAGAAGAAACTTTTGTTGGGAAGTAGAAACAAAAAGTAAATAAATAAGTAACAAATAAAAATAACTCAATAGCAATATGACCTGATGGTGAAGATCTCGTTTAAAGGAAAGAGCATGTTCTAGATAGACAGTCCTCAGGAGGAGATAAACAAATGATGAGCAGGCATGTGACAAAATGCTCCACAGCACTAATCATCAGAAAATGTGGACTAAAACGAAGAGACATCATCTCACTCCGGCCAACTTGCACAGATACAGAAATGTGGGCACTCCTATACAATGTCGTGCAGTCACTGTGCAAAACAGTGTTGTGTCAACAAGGTGTGTGCCCGTCCGAATTTACTGCAGCCCTAGGTATAGTCCCCAAAACAAGGAATTAGGACGAACAGATAAAGAATATACAGTTCATCTATACAGCAAAATACTACCCAGGCATTTAAAAAAAAAAATAGTGAAAGCCTGTTATTTTCAACTCTGGGTCAAAATTGGAGAACACGATGCTAAGTGAAATCAGGCAGGCACAGGAAGACAAGGATCACACGTTCCCATTACTGGAGGAAGTTGTAAAAGGTTGTCTAGCTTCCTTTCTGGTGCTGTGATAAAATATCGACTTAGGGGAAGACGGTTTACCTGGTTTACAGTTCCAGGTCAGTCATTGAGAGAAGGCCCAAACTCGAAGCAGAAGTCATGGATAAACACTGCTTGCTGCTCACTCTCTGGCTCACTCACAGGCTCATGTTTACCTAGTTTTTTTACATAGCCCAGGACCACTTGCTCAAGGAATGGGCTGGGCTCTCCCACATGCACTAATAATCTAAATGATCCCTCACAGACATGTTCACGCGCCAAACAGATCTAAGCAATTCTCATTGGAGGCTTCTGCTCTCAGGTGACTCTAGGCTGTATCAAATGGACAAAGTTAACCAGGGCAGAAGAGGATCTCAAACCAAACAGTGAAATAGTGATCACTGGATGTAAGAAAGGACAAAGGAGAATGGAGTAAAGAGACGTTAGATAATGGGTACCAACATACAGTCAGCTAGGAGGAATCAGTACTGCTATTCTGTAGCATACAGGCTTAAGTCCTTACCAGATAAAAATAGTAAGAAGCTTCCCAACACAAAAACATGATCCATTTTTGAGAGAAAACACCTGTCATTCTGATACTATCACTATTTATTGTATATTTATGCTGAATTACTCTACTAAAACGTTTCAACTTTCAAAAGGTTCCCAAAACATACAAATGATACATTTTTTGAAATGGTAATGCTAACTTCCCTGATTTTTTTGTTACATATTATACACATATACTGGGCCCCCATAAATGTGTTTAGATACTTTATGCATCAATTACATTTTTCTAAAAAACACACATAAAGAGATTTTTCTAAAGCCAATATGACCTCCTTGAACATTAGTTTAACTTATAATACCATATTTAAATAGTATATCATTACAAATGGCATATTAAGGCTAAGAGTATGCCATCACACTAATAACACCTAAGAGCATTTCACCAAAGGCAATGTAATGGTTTGCTACTGAGCAGGGCTAATGTTAATAGTCAAATTTCACTGTAAATGGTGTTAATTATCCAGCAGTACTACAAAGAAAAATGACTAATTAGTTCTCTATTAAAACTTGAAAAGACACATCAAATTGAACTAACACTCTTCCTCATGTCAGGTTTGCATATTTCCTTCAAATTATTTGTCCAACAGAATAATTAACCCATGATTTCTTTTTTTTAATAATTTATTTATTTTTATTTTATGAGCAGTGATTGGTGTTTTGCTTGCATGTATGTCTGTGTGGGGTGTCAGATCACCTGGAACTGGAGTTACAGACAGTTGTGAGCTGACAAGTGGGTGCTGGGGATTGAACCTGGGTCCTCTGGAAGAGCAGCCAGCGTTCTTAACCACTGAGCCATTGATCCAGCCCCCTAATGCATGAATTATTAAATAATAATTTATTACCACTGGCACTTAAGCTCCTAGAACTATAAATCTAAAGATCATCCATTCACCTCTAACCAGAAGTGTAAGATACATTGTCTATGAGTTCTGGCTAGTTGAGACTGGAACCACTTATACCCTCAGTGAAGAGGACCTGTGACTGTCCAAAAGCAAAATAAACCAGACTGTACTTGCACCCACACCAGGAAGACTTAAGGCATCCCTAGTAGCTGGCAACCACCATGGGAGCTCAGGAAAGACGAATGCGCAATACTTGTCACAGGGCCTAAGTCATCTGTACCTGCAGCTTTTCTTAGTATCTAAAGGAATGACGACACCAAGGATTCCCTAGAATGGCACTGTTCACTACATCACTCTTGGCTAACGTGGAGAGGAAACCGAGAGAAGAGAGAAGGGGATGAAGGGAGGTGAAACAGAAGACAAAAGTTACCACTTACACTAACAGCTATGACACTAACAACCTGAATGAGATCCCTCGGTTCTGCTCGTGAGGAAATCATGAGTACTCCCTCGTATGGCAAAGGATTATGGTTGGATTAACAGATTCAAAAGATTAAATTCAATTCTTAAAAACTACAGGTGCATAACTGGAGACCTTAGAAGCTAAAGGCTCATCACACAGGATAAGTACAGGATACAGGACTTAGAGGCGTACGGTCCTGGACTCCAAGTGCTACCAAACCACCAAACCGACACAAGGTGGCTACTGAAATCCTTGGCTCTAAGCAACATCTCGTGATAGCAGCTGGTAGCAGTCAGCACCAGCTAAGTATGATAGCTCTTGAGCCTAGGGTATCAGGACCCCAGCACTAGCGTTACAGCTCTCAAGCACCTTGGATGTAGGAACCTTCAATCTGCAAGGTGTGGCAGCTCCCAGGAACTGTTCCAGTAGCCAACCAAGGCTCCTAGTCTCTTGTGCACTGCCTTCTCAAGCCTCAGCTTCAACAATTACACTGTTTTTACTCTGTATCCCTGAGTCAGTCACACTTTACCCTTCCACGGGTACTGTTCAACTACCACCACACCTTTCCCTGTGTTACCAGTCCAGTCCACTCTACCTATGATAAAAATCATGGGTAGGCAAGAGAAGTCCATTTGAGAAAAGCTTTTTAATGGGCTAAATGCTAAAAAACCAGTCAGCTCAGGAGGGATTCTTCAAGCTGACTTAAAAACTGGATGACCAGCCTGATGATGATAGAGCCAGGAATAGAGAAAGTATGGTATGCAAATGAAGGGTTGCATTTGTACCAATCAAAGAACAGTTTTTAGTTCAACCAATCAAACAGCTTCTTTCTGAGTTCATGAAGGGGTGTTCCCACTCCCATCTTGAATGAGAACAGCTGCAGGGTCATCTAAAGTTCACCAAGGCTTGGCTCTGGTTCCTGCCTTCTCAGGCCAGTGCAGGGTCTGGAGTGACTGTTGCTGGAGCAAGGCCTCCTGAAACAGAAGTCCTTCTAGGTGGAGCATTCTCAGAGTGACCATTAAATGTCCAAATCAGCCTCACCTGGACAGCACAGTCCAGATACCAGAAAAGGGACTGCTTGACTGACAGTTCCCTCTCTAGGCTTCCAAGTAGAAGGGAGGAGCTCATCTGCTGTCATTTAAAGGTTTGAACTTCCTACTCTCACTGCAAAGTTTCAGTTATTCATGGAAAAAACTGTGTAGTGCTTACAAAAAGGCTTGAAAAAACTCACAAAACTAACAATCTCACCATATTCAATAATTCTTGACAGTGTCAACCCTTCACCACGGTTCCTCTATGAAGATGAGTCCATCTGTTCAATTATGCTATCATGCCTACTCTGGATCTTTGAAAAATTATACGTGGCCCAACCTACCCTAGAATCAACTAGACAAACTTGTGTGTTAGTTGTTTATAAAAACAAAGACTTCTTTAGGTTTGTGTCATGCAATAAATACAGAAAAGCAGACTCGTCATTAAAAGCAATTTGTGGAGGTAACTCAGTGGCTACGTGTGTGCCTACCATAAGTAAGGTCCTAGACCCAGAAGGTTCTCAATCTTCCTAAAATTGCAACCCTTCAATACAGTTCCTCATATTGTAGTGATCCCCAACCGTAAAATCATTTTCATTGCTACTTCATGACTGTTATTTTGCTACTGAGCATTTTTCTCAGTTCCTAAGACCATGGGAAATAATGTGTTTTCTGATGGTTGTGACCCACAGGTTGAATGCCCTGGATGGAACCTCTGGGGAGAGGAGAGGAAGGTAGGGGAGAAGCAGGAAGAGGAAGGGAGGGAAGTTCAGCTAATAAATGACAGATTTAGTTTTAAGATACTAATGAATAATCACTTACTGGACTCCAGATCATAAAACGAGTAAAGTTTCTCTGACTCTGAGGGTTTTTCATCCATCTGTGAAGGAAAAGAAGAAGACACAGGTAATTGCTCCAATATATAAATAAGTAGAGTTGACTACACTTGGATAATCTGATGAACATTTTTGTTTGCTTGTTTTCAGACATGATGGACCACGACATCACTATGTAGCTCTGACTGTCCTGAAAATTAGTCTGTAGACGAAGCTGGCCTCGAACACATAGCAATTCACCTGCCTCTGCCTCCTGAGTGCTGGGATTAGAGGTATGTGCAACCATACCCAGCTTCAATGAAATTTTTTAAAAGATTATTTTCTATATATCCTTTTTCATAACTTTTTAAAACATTTATTTATTCATTCACTGGGGGGGAGGGCAACTTAAGAAGTCAGTTCTCTCCTTCCATCACACAGGTTCCAGAAACTGAATTCTGGCCATCAGGCTGGGCAATAAGCACCACCAAACATGGAAGTCTCATCTCTAGGCCTCTTCAGCTTTTTTTGGAATTACTTAGTAACAACTTTAAAATCTAACTTGCAACTTCACCTAAGCAGCTTTATCTCCAAATAAAAAACTCTTTACGAGAAGTTCCCACACTTTCACATTCTCAAAAGCCTCTAGGAAAGTTCAGGGTGGAGAAATGGGAACTAAAAAATCAAAAGTCAATGAATAAATGAAGGAACCAAATTAGACCCTGCAATAATCTGAGATTTATGCCACAGTCTAGCAAAACAATCTGGAAGTGTCTTGGGGGCAGGATTTCAGACTCTGTTGTATTACAGGGAAAAGGACTGCAGAAATCACAAATCATGGCACTACACAAGAAAAGAAATAAGTATTTGTCAACTTAATATATCATTATCTAATTCTGTCCTCACTTGAAAAGACAATAAAGGCATGCCGTGTGTTCATAGGAAAAACATTACGAAGAAAACCTAAGTACTAGTCGCTAACATCTGTTACCTCAAAACCCCATTCAAGAAAGAGATTACAAGAGCGCTATGGACTGCAGCTGTACACCTCACGGCCATCAGGTCAATGACTGATAGGAACATGAGCTCTTGTCTCAACGCACTGCCTGGGATAACCCACCACCCACCTTAACATGAACTCCGTCTCAGCCTTAAGTACGAACGGGAATAGCAATTGCTTTTATCAATTAAATCCAGGCCTCTCTAATGAGTTGTGTACTCACAAGCTTGACGACGGCTCTGCCCAGAAGTCTCACGGAGTCAGGGGGATACCTGGGCTTGCAGCTTTTAAGACATTTGCATTCTCGCTTGTGGTCAGGCCAAGCTTTTTTCTGTGAAGACAAGAGCAGGGCAGGAAGAGCATTGGAGGCGAACGTTAACTTTCATTTAAGCCAGTTCTGAACACTGAGACTCGTCAACCTTAATTTAATTTCAACAACCTAACTATAGCTGCAAAATACAAAATTCATTTTGTAACACTTCGAATGATCCAGAACTTAATCTTGGTCGAGTAGGTACCAGATGGAGACACCGACAGCTCAGCTTCACCTTGTCCTTTAAATTGCATTCTGGTCATGACCAGGCTGGGAAATTCCATAGTAAGAACCACTTAAACTTAATGTTCAGTAATATATAAGGATAGTCTTTTAATGAAAATATCACTCAGACAGGGGTGGCACACGCCTACGCAGTCAGAGCTCTGTAAGTTCAAGGCCAGCCTGGTCTACAGGTGAGTTCTAGGATAGCCAAGGCTGCACAAAGAAGCTCCGTCTTAAAAAAAAAAAAAAAAAAAAAAAAAAAAAAAAAAAAAAGAAGAAGAAGAAAGAAAAAAGAAAGAATAAAAAGAACAGATTCACAAATGAAAATATCACTTAAAGCTATAAAATAAAACATGTGGCTTAGGGAAATCAAAACTCAACATTCTGAGTTTCCACCTTGCTATAAAAAAGTCAAGTATGCCAGGAGAGCTAACAGATGGAAAACTATAAAGATTGTAGCTCTCAAAGGAAAGGAGCTAACCCATGATATGCAGTTTGTGAAAGATTGTACAAGGTCATACTTATGTCCTGGCTTAATTTTTTTTTTCCTTTTTTTTTTTTTTCGAGACAGGGTTTCTCTGTGTAGCTTTGTGCCTTTCCTGGAACTCGCTTTGTGGTGGTGCACACTTTAATCCCAGCACTCGGGAGGCAGAGGCAGGCAGATCTCTGTGAGTTCGAGGCCAGCCTGGTCTACAAAGCGAGTTCCTGGCTTAATTATAACAGAGTCCTTTTCATTTGAAAAAGCATGTAGTTGGGAAAATAAATTTTCTGATCAGCACAGGCAGGAAACTACGTGATGAGGCTGGAGAGAGTAGCGGACTGGTCACACATCTAGATGCGAGTGGACCAAAGGGAAGGACTTGATGCCTGAGGAGAGGGTAACAGCTAGAGCAACAGTCCCGTATGTTCTATCGCTGACACACTTGGTGCCCCACACACTCTTACTTCATAAAAATTAGACATTTGACACATACGTGTGCTCGAGTGAGCCTTTTGCTACAAAAGACTTCCTGCGTCAGCCTGGCCAGCCCCCGAGTAATCTAGCTTGTTTACAAGTCTATGGCTTCGGCCATCAACTCCACTCCCAGTTGCTCACTTTGGTTTTTTTTGTTTTTTTTGTTGTTGTTGTTTTTATTTTTGTTTTTCGAGACAGGGTTTCTCTGTGTAGTTTTGGTGCCTGTCCTGGAACTCGCTCTGTAGCCCAGGCTGGCCTCTAACTCACAGAGATCCGCCTGGCTCGGCCTCCCAAGTGCTGGGATCAAAGGCGTGTGCCACCGCCGCCCGGCCTTAGTTGCTCACTTTGACTATGAAGATCCTGCTTAACGCTCCTTGTAACCCTTCCTTCCAGCATTTATACCTCACACCCATCTAAGCAGGACTACAGAGGTTCCACTGAAAGAAGTATGAGAAGAGCCGGGCACACAGCTCAGTGAGAGAGCCCCTGAAGCCCTGGTTCAAGCCTTAGTGCCACCAAACAAGATGAGGAGGAGGAAACAAGAGGAAAAAGAGATGATGTGCCTGTGACCCAGGCACTCAGGTGGCTGAGGAAGAAGGATTAGGAGCTCAAGGTCATCCTCGACGACAATGAGTTCAAATCAACCTGTGCTGAATGAAAACCTATCTTTTAAAAAGGAAAAACGAAAGTTGCAAAAGGAATAGGTTGTAACAGCAGAAACATAAAATGCTAAAAAAAATCACTGGTAGAATTGAGGAAAGTCCTCTGACATCCACTTAGCATTCCAGAATGTGCTAGACACATGCCTAAGCAATTAACACAAGACATTGCATTTAATTTTCTCAGTAACACAGATACTAGAAACCATCCTAATATTAGACCGAGAAAGTAAGGCTTGTGATCTGGGGTTTAAAACAAACCTCCCAAATATCAACAAGGACAGGACACCCCTTGGCATGCTCACCATGGACACTAAGTGAGTGCCGTGTTTGTACATTTATTTAAGTTGCTTTATAAGCAAGGCGGAAACAGAGCATAATGACTTCCATAATTCTCATCTAGTAGAAAGGAAGACGTATGTTACTAAATATTAAATCAGAGGAGGAATGTATTCCAAGAAGGCTGATCATCACACTGGACAGTGTCTTTGACAATACTTACATTTACAACTGTAATGGCCTTTTAGGCAGCTACATGACATCGGTACTTACCTGAAGGCACAGTATAAAACCTAACTTGGTACACAAAAGGCTGTTGTGCAGGGGAGTACTGAACTACCAACTGTCAATCACCAAGACATACAAGGTGTTCGAAAAGTTCACTGTTTCGCTGTCAAATAAATTCGAAAAACACAAAACCATGTATCCTGCTTAGCAAAATATATTCACCTACTAAAAATTCCAATGCATCAAAGAAACTTGTACAATGATGTAACACAGCATCCCATGGTGGCCATAGCCATCCTTGGGGATGTAGGTTGGTATACACGGACTAAGACGCATGGGGAGGCTCTTACTTCCATCTGGTCTTCAAATCAGAGTAGGTTCAGCAGACCAATGCAGAGTGCTTCATTCTGACAAGAAACTACAGTGCTGGTATCTTTAAACACTAAGTTCATCTGCTATACTCATACATCAGCACCTAGCCCAATCATCATCAGAGAGGCTTCATCCAGCAACTGATGGAAACAGATGCAGAGACCCACAGCCAAACATTAGGCAGAGCTCAGGTGACCCTAAGCATACCAGAAATCTCCATGCTGGGTTAACCAAAATATCAACAGCAGGGTCTATGTGGACCTAGCAGAAAGGGCATTTTATTTCCCTGACACAAGTAATTGTCGAGTCCATAATCCCCAAAGTCACCAGAGGGGTAGCCAGTCCTTATCAGAAAGTTCAAACTATGGTAAAAAAAGACAGGAAGGCAAAAGCAATTCAGGAAGCCATCGGGGGTATCACACCTGCATCTGGGACAGGCTACCCTGCTGTGTGAAAACTCTAAATGAAAGACTGTGGAGCTGACAGAGAATGAGACTCAAACGTGGCTGGGGGAGGCGTTCATCAAAAGCCTAGATTACTGAAGTATCTTAAAACATCTCTTTATTATTGGCATGATTGGAGCAAGCAATGGAGGGCTAGGAATGAAAACTCCAGTTGAAACATGATGCTAAGACCGCCCAGACCACTGTTACAGTCTTCCATCCACTTAGTCCTACTCTTACCCTGCCAAGTGCTGTCCCTAAATAGAGGCCATGGTGGCAAGCACCTCTAATCCAAGCACTCGGAAGGCTACTGCAGGGTGATCTTAGAGTGAAGCTGTCTTGGGGTGGATGAACTTGAAGCCCATGCAGGCCACATGGTAAGACCCAACCTCAGAAAACCAAAAAGCACAGGGAAAAAGAAAAAATGGGAGGGTTCGGAGAAAAATGTTTACTTAAAGACCTACAAAAGGCTGGAAAATGATGAAAGACCAAAACAGGAAAAGAACCAGAAACAGAAAACAGTAGCAGATATGACAGATATCAATAATGAGAATCATTCTGAGTGTCATTGGTCTCGATGCACCAATTAAAGGAGAGATTGTCAGGATGGATTAAAAATAAAACTCTGCAAATCCTATCAGTCTGAGGTCTGAAACACAGCTACTCCTGAAATAATCAAAAGGCTTTCTTCAGTACCCCCCTTTGAATATGGTGTTCCAGAAAGCAAGTGAAAAAATAACCCTGTGAAATGCTTACTGATGTAGGATTAGTTTTCCACCATAAAAATGAATCAAATCATTTGATAACTGCACATGAAATACAGACCCAAAATATGATTCATTATGTAAAGAGATATATAATTGTTAATACGAAACAGAACCTCTCTCTGCAAACATAGCGCTTTTCAAAAAATCATGATGTGAAATTTGATCTAGAACCTGGTCATGTGCTTTGTTCAGCAATGAGGCCAATTAGAAATGCAAATATCACAGGTCAAACTAACTCCAGAAAGGCTATCAATATCGCTGTCAGTATTTACATTTGAACATTGCTTAATAAGAAAACAACCTGTGTCTCCTTTTCAGTCTCAGAATCAACTGTGATGTTCCATTACGCCAACATGGAGACCTGTTCCCACACTAGGGAATAACGCGATGGATGTCCCACCATAAGAACCACACAGGAGCTTAAAGCCCTCAATGAAAAAATGTTCCTATCAGTATCAGAAATAATACTGTAGACAGCAGTGGATGAGTGAGCGTACTGACTGACTTAATGTATAGGAAACATGGAGGAACAGTTGTCTTTGTATCCTACTGCATTCACAAAAAGAAACACAAATTATCTTTGAAAACAGAAGAAAAGGAAACTAGAGAAAATGTCCATTGTTTTAATCCTTTATAATTCTACATTATATTAATTTTTATAATGAAAATATGTTCTTGTGTTGCTTACGTTTAAAACTGAAATATGAATGCTGATGACAATGATAGCATCCTTAGAGTAGAAAGAATATATTATACCCTTAAAACTAACCCCCAAACCTTTCTCAGACAATTCATTAATACCACAGACCCACATAAAAGGCCCAACTATTGAACCAGAGTCAGGTTCCTCTCAGGCAAACATCTTTTTTTTTACAGTCACAATCCTTACATCAATTTCCATTCCACTTGCCTTTCCTTCCTGTGCATTACAGTTCATCGTTCTCATAGTTCAGTTTCTCAGTTGAATTTTGTGCAGCTTTGTAGGTATCCACAATAATTACAACATTTAGTTCTGTCCCTTAGGGTGTGGATAACTAGAACAGTTCAAATGCCTACATTCCAGCCAGTCTTTGACTCCCACTTCTACACCCACACGACACCCCACACACAGACACACACAAACATGCACTCAGCTAGCAACATATATTTCATCTTGCTGGCTGTTTTCCCAGCGCCTTACACATTACATCTAACAATGCCGCTGTTACTGACACCGCAGTGAATTACTAATGTATGTAATAAAATATCTGCACTACAAGGAATCAAAGAGACACACCCACGTGCCAAACTCCTCTAGCTGTTCTTATCAGATACTGGCTTTTTCTTTTTTCTACGTATTATTACAACTAGAGAAGGTAGCCTTAGAGAAAACGGATTTGTGAGATTGGGAGGAAAAAATAAAAGCTTAGGCCACTAAGATTAGAAATGAAGTTTCCAAAAGATGTGTGTCAAATAGCATGTTAATTCATCATTTCTATGTGTATTCCACCCGACATTTGGGGAAACATGGAGCCCAAATTTACAAGGAATTGAGGGGGCTGAAATATCATCACAAAATAGATTTTCTATGATTTATCTTGTGGAAAAGGCATGTGTTCGTTCTCTGTCTGTCTGTCTGTCTGTCTCTCTCTCTCTCTGCTTTTTACTATAGTTACTATTAATGATCTTATACAAGAAATCTGAGATCTCACTTTGACAAAATATTTGGTGTAAAAAATGAAATTAAAATAAAAATTGCTTTTAACAATTCATATCTTATCATGGAAGTGTGTGTGTGTGTGTGTGTGTGTGTGTGTGTGTGTGTGTGTGTGTGTGTGTTGTTCCTATGTATGCTATGTGCCTGTGTGTGAAGATATGCATGCATGTATGTATACACACGAATGGAGGTTCAGCACTGAAACAGAGTATCTTTCCCTGATTGCTCTCCATCTTCATTTTTGGAGACAAAGTCTCTCACTGAACCGGAAGTTCATGGATTCAGCTAGGCTGGCTGGCTAATGAACTTCAGAGATCTGCCTGTCTCTACTCCCACACAGTTTGGGGTTACAGACACGTACTGTCACAGCTGATGATCTGAACCCGGGCCCCTATGCTTGCCCAGCACTCACTTCACCCACTCAACGAGCTCCCCAGCTCTTGAGTTCTGTTGTAAATTTTTCTTTTCGTGTCTTTTGAAAACAAAATGAAATAGCTGAGGGAATAGAAGGGATAAAGATTCTTCTGGGCAGGTACCAAAGGTCAGAGTGAAAATAATTAGCCAAGAAACAAAGGACAAATGCAACAGATAATAGAAAAGCAGATGTAATCAGAATGTTATAGCAAGAATAAAACTTACATTTAGACGGTAAGCATAAAAATCTGGACATGTGCTATATATGTATAGTCATTTCCCAAAATCCAGGATGTATCAGTTATAAGATATGTAACAATTTACTTGCCATTCTGAGCTGTTTCCTTACTGGTAATTGAGCGTGGCAACAGTAGCAAAGTTACACGAGATTCTAAAAAGTTAAATGGAATAAAACAGCACCTAGCACCCAGCGGATACCTAACAAATATTAGCTCTCAGCAGCACCTAGCACCCAGCGGATACCTAACAAATATTGGCTCTCAGCACCTAGCACCCAGCAAATACCCAACAAGCATTAGCTCTCATAAATGCAGATTCAGAAACTGAGGCCTGACCTTGTGTTTCCTATGAAATAATTTAACTAGAACGTGACTGAAGCAACATCGGAACCTGGATCCTCTGAGAGTTTTGACCATGGAGTTTCTTCCATTACAATCGTTTTATTTGCACTCTGAAGAGACTACAAAGGTGAAAAGGACATGGCCGCAGAGTCCCTGAGTAACAGTCTAGATTCAAAGGAAGAAAGAAGAACTCAACGTAAGTGCTTGTGCACATAAACACACAAGCAAGCACACGCACATCCCAAAATGTGAATGAGGGTGGGATGACACACACAAAAGTTTCCATTAGACTTTTTAATGACATAATTCACTAGAGCATAATTATACCTCTTACTAAATGATTAATCAAAAGATTTGAAGAAAAGGTCATGCTGAATGTTAATTATACACCCTTAAAAGAATTCCAAAGATATTAACAGCCATATTCATTACAAATTAATTTAATCCTTAGGAAGGCAATTTGGCATTATTGTTAAAATTCAAAATGCATATATCCTTCCACTAAAAATATGATTAGAAATTTATCATGAAATTAATTTTTAGAAGTATACAAAAACTACAAAAATAATGTTGGGTATATCATTAACAATACCAAATTTGGGAGAAAATCTAAACATTCATTAATGATAAAATTATGATCATGGTTAAATATAGCTATGTGTATGTGTATACATATGTGTGTATATATATATGTGCATGTATACCATATGTATATATATATGTGTGTATATATATATATATAAAATGTAATATATTTGGTGATACAAAATAGTCTCTAAATATGAAAAAGGAACTCAAGACATAGAAGAACCTGAGCCAAAACAACCTGTATCAATTTTTATAAACATATATGGATCTTCAAATACGTCTGCACAAAACCTTAACAATGATATGATGTTTCGAAAATGAAGTGTACCACCAAATGCATGAAGGCTGGACCTCCAGGGGACGCTACTGGTAGCTGGCTGGATAATGAAGGCACTAACGTCATCCGTGGAATAATCCATGAATTCATAGCTAAAGGGGTAACCAGGAGATTGTGTTGGGATAAAGTGGTCACTGGTACCTGGCTTTCATTATTTACCCTAGCAGGAACATGTGTAACTATGTCTGTCTGTCTCTGTCTCTGTCTCTCTGTCTCTCTCTCTCCCTCTCTCCTTCCCTCCCTCCTTGACAAAGCCTATTTAAACTACACAAATATTAAATTTAAAACTGAAAGAAAATAACAAGTAAAAAAAACACCATTTTGTTTTTGTTTTTTTAAGATGAAAGAAAAAAAGACGAAGGCCCACAGGCGTAACTGAGAACAGATGCACAGGTAGGGGTCTCGAAGCTTTCACTGAACCGTGCAACAGCCTTACCTGACACTTGGCACTGCAGTATTTGGCGATTCGGCACTGAGAACACCGCATCAGCTTTTCCTTCCTGTTAAAAACAATTAATTCCGTGTTAGAAAATAAGTGGGAAACATGTACGACTGAACAAAGAAAATACAAGCCAAGATGTTGATGCCAATAGCTCTGTGGACTCCTCACACAGGATCCTTTAAGACTTTGACATTTTTAGGGGCTGGAGTGATGCTTGCTGCTCAAGCGTGTGGGCTGTTTGGAATCTAAGCACCCACATAAAAGCTAGGTTTGGTGATATGCACGTATATCCCCAGTGCTAACAAGAGCAGAAGCCAGGTGGATCCCAGAGCATGCTGGCCACAGTCAGCCTAGCAAAAGCAGTGAAATCCAAGTTCAGTGAGAGACCCTGCCTCAAAAACATGGTGGAGAGCAATAAAGGAAGACACACAAAGGTGACCTCTGCCTTCTGTGCAAAAAGGCACAGTGGCTACACACACACATACACACAGCCAAGACTTAGAGTTCCAAATGGCTGAACATCCTCCTTCATCCCTGACGTGAAACAGCAGCGTAAAGTAATACTCTTCAGTTAAGTTGTGGTATAAGGTTGTAATGCAGCTATTTCCTCTCGGTTTGATGACGAACATATCCATCTTGTTGCAGAGCAGCTATGATGATGTACACAAGACCCTCGAGAGATCAGGCCTACTAACCCCCTCACAAAGGGAGAAGACCAGATTATGAGACTTGGGAGATCCTGCAGACTCACCTCTTCCCTCAGAATTCCAATCATCACTATGTAAGTAAAGAGTTGAATAAGGTAGGGCTTCTCTGTGGTATTAGCTGCCTACAGGCCACCTATGGATATCCTGACATTGTAGCTGCTTGTGAGTCACTCAGGTTCCTGTGAGTCACTTCAATAAATTCACACTCTCTTGGCAAGCCAGGCTTGGGGTAGACTCCTTTCTTTGGTTGGTCAGTGCCCTCTCTATCTAGGGCGAATAGTTCCATCCTCCCCACTAAAAAAAAAGTCATATGACAAAGATAGTCAACATAATTTTAACATTTTAACCAATTTTAAATATAGGGTCCAGTGGCATTAAGAAAATTCACATCTGGGGCCTAGGGACACAACTTACTCAGTGCCTAATATGTATGAAGTCTGAGATTCAATCCCGAGTAACAGCAAAAACAGACTATTCACATGCTGGACAAGCAACATCACCACTAATTTCCTTTTCAAGCTAAATTTAACTGATATATAACAATACTCCTAAAACTTCTATTCACGGGAGCATTGCTCTCTCCATATGGAACCCCAAGTCAAATGTATCAACTGGAGAAGGTACAGACTGGGCTTCTCCTATCTGAAATGTTTGGAACAAGGCAAGTATTTAGAATTTGGGATTGTCTTTCTGGTATTATAATATTTTAATTGAGATGATGAGATGTTTCAGAGATGGGAACCAATTCTGAACACAAGCTTCATTTACATTTCATACGTACTTTGTGCATATAGCCTGAAGTGATGGCACTTTTGGTACACTTGTGATTGAATGCAACCTGATATATAAAGTCAGCATGGGAATTTCCACCACCGTGTGAATGCTCACAATGTCTCAGATTTTAGAGTAATTTAGGTTTTTCAATTATCTGATTGTATATTCTCAAAATATATTCTGTACACTTTAAATATAAAGAAATTATGAGTCATCTCCCCAGACCCCAAAAATCATACACACTAGGTACTGAGCTTAACAAGCTTAATAACATATACTCCTGCTAAAAAATGATTTAAAAACTCCATTAAATTCTACTTCAGACAGGCAGGATTGGGACTGAGAGGCATCAATGTTGTTTTCCACAAGTCACCTGGTCAACAACAACAACAAAATTTAGACATTTAAAAGGCTGAACCTTAAAATTAAAATAGTGAGTCTGGTACCATTAATGGTGACCAACACAGAGAAGACTGTGGATTGGTGGACAGAGTCAAGGCAGGCCAAAGCACCAAGCGTCAGAGTATAACAAAGTCAATGGGAAAACAGAAGGATTCATTGTGGGCATTCACTGGTGTGCCAGGCACGGCACCATGTTCTGTTCATCTACTAACTCATGCTCAACTTGAAAGAGTCCTAAGATGAGCAGTCTTACTATGTCCACTTTAGAAAAACTTAATACATTTGCAAGAGAGCCAAAGTAGACGCTACCCAGGTGTAGCAGCACATGCCTTTAAACCCTGCAGAGACAGAGGCAGGGGGATATCTGTGATTAACCAGCCTGATCTACATAGAGTTCCAGGACATCCTGAACTACATGTTGTCTTTACAACAAATAGATGCTACAGTACAAATTAGCTAGGCAAGCATGAAGTGACTGTGCCACGCGACTCTCAAGGGTAACAAGAGCCTCACTGAAAATGAGAACATGAGCATCTGCTACCTTTCGGGAAGCTGGAGGAACTGGGTGAGGAGCAGGCCGTGAAACGTGCAGAGGGTTTATGTAAAGAAAAGGTAAAATGCTTCCCACACGCGACTGTAAAGGGGGAGCTGCCAACATCTACACACCAAACAGCGAACCAAACCAACCAATCTGGCCTTTAAGTTTTGCTTTTAACCATCACATTCTACAGTCAGTTATAAATAAAACTGGATAGAAATTTAATTCACTCATGCTTAAAACAAAAAGACACGCAAGAAGGGAAGAGAAGGCTACATCAGGTAAACTATAAATAAAAAAAAACCATATAATCATATCAATATCAGGAGAAGGTTAAACGAATCATAGGAGATAAAGGAGGCCAAAGGGTAATGATAAAAGACCCCAGTCACCTCACCAGCTGTCACGTATCCAGCAATAAATATATTAAGTCTCAAAATATATAGAGTACAAATAATAGACCTTTAAGAGAAAAAATGACCAACACACGATTAATATATGGAAGGACCTTAAAAGTGTCCGGAATGCAGGAAGCACCATGCAAGATGTAGATATTACTATAAAAATACAGACTCCCTTCTGGAAATTCACTGATCAAGCAAATCAGGAGAATGAGCATTCTCCTGGGTACCTTTTATGAGTGGCCGGTAGTGCTTGGAAAAGATGTGTGGCAGCACAGCCATATAACAGGTGTGACTGACTCAGGGTCACTTCCTCCTGATTTGCTCGAGCAATGAATTTCTCCAACAATGGAGGAATTAGAAACGTTTAAGAAACTTCTGCGTGGGGGCTGGAGAGATGGCTCAGAGGTTAAGAGCACTGACTGCTCTTCCAGAGGTCCTGAGTTCAATTCCCAGCAACCACATGGTGGCTCACAACCACCTGTAATGAGATCTGGTGCCCTCTTCTGGCCTGCAGTCACATATGCTGTATACATAATAAATAAATAAATCTTAAAAAAAAAAAAAAAAAAGCAAAAGTGACACAAAACAAAAAAGAATTTAAAAAAAAAAAAAAAAAAAAAAAAAAAAAAAAAAAGAAACTTCTGCGTGGATATGTGAGACACGCTTCTATATTGTCTGAGGAACAGAAGAGTCACAATGAAGATTAGGAAATATATTTTCAGTAAATAATGATAGAAATAGCCAAACTTGTACTAAAATAATACAGAAAATTTTTAACTTTAAATATTCATGTAAAAGCTGAAACAAAATAAACTAAACATGCAAGTCAAGAACTTAAATTAGAGCCAGACAGTGGTGTACATCCATAATCCAAGCCCTCAGGAGACAGAGGCAGCAGGATTACCTCTGAGACACTATCTCACAAACAAACAAATAAGAAGAAAAAAAAAATATTTGATAATAAGAGAAAACCCACGACGGCAAAAAGTAAAAGCTGAAATCATAAGGCAAGTGTTTTAAACGAAATAGTATGCAATGCTACAACAGAACGGGTTATAGAGCAAGAAAGTGCTAACCAATAACTCCTGTAGGAATGTTAGGAATAAACAGGACGACCACCCAAATTCAATCGTGATTTAAAAACAATGCTGGGGAACGACAGCTACAACAAGACGTTGTCTCCAGACTTGACCACCGACTCTCAACTGGTCACCTACATCTACAACCATCGCCAATGGCTCCAAGAGCTGACTTCAGTGAACAGCATTAAAGGAGGAAATAAGAGTAAACAACCAGCCTTCCAGCAGCCCAGAAGCAAAAGTAACCCAAATCTGGCAAAAGGTAACCAATGTAGAGGGTGATGAGCCAGCCCGAGACCAGCATGCCAACACTGGGGAAAGGATGTGAGGGTAAAAAGACTGCCTGCACCCTGGCCCGCCTCCTCCTCAGACGCAGCCTGTTATATCCCCTCTTTTCTTTGTCTATCTCAACCAGAGGTTACTTCTGCTGCCTGGAAACAAAGATCCCCGCTACACAAAGTGCTGTTGTTCACTTCTAAGAAACAGTGAATGGAATCGAGATATCTAAGCAGATCAGTGATGACCAGCGGCCAGGACCAGCTCCATCTGCCTTCCACAGCTCCCGACAGTGCATCCTAGCACAGCAGTGTGGCTCACTCCACAAGATGAACCAGAGTCACTGAAGAGGTCAACTGCTGTTTGCTGTGGCCAGAAGTCCCACACCGAAGCTTATTTAGATGGTCACAATTTTTATAAACAAATAAATAGATTTTAATTCTCAAGCTCCAAAAGCAAAGTTAACTGAATATAAGAAAAAAGTTGTAAGTGCTTGTTTAGACCAGCCACTGATCCCAAGTAGAACCCTACTTCCCTCTCAGGGTGAGCTTGGGTGCTGGGGGTAAGGACCCCTGCTGAGAAGAAAATTTCTAACAAGAGAAGAAAACGGAGGAAGGCACAAAGAATCAAGGCCTGCAGGCATTTTAGAAACATTCTCCTCTCTCTCTCTCTCTCTCTCCTTTAAAGCACATCATTTCCAAATGAAAAACAAAGCTGCATTTCTTGAATGCAGCAATGAGAAATGCATACATCAAATCAAAACCAGAAATAACTAGTCATCTTCCAGAAAAAGGACTGCTTATTTTAGGCAATTCCTGGGACTAAAAGGAGAAACACTGAATGAAAATGAACGAAGAACAGGTTTTATGTAAATCGTG